CTCGCTCCACAGCGCCGGCCTGCCCCGGTCCCGGGCCACCACCGTCACGCGGTGCTCGGACGCCTGCTCGCGGTCCAGCGCGCTCGCCGTCACCACCTTGTACGAGCCGCCCGACGACGCCACGATCGACAGCGGCGCCTCTCCCGACAGCTCGCACGACACCTCACCGTTCTCACCAGAGTCTGAGTCATGGACGTTGAGTAGGGCCACCACGGTGCCGGTCGGCGAGTCCTCGGGCACTGGGCTCGACAGGGACAATATTGTAATCTCCGGCGCGTTGTCATTCTCGTCCGTGATGTCTATCTTCACTTCACAGTGATCGGTGAGCCCTCCTCCGTCCGTCGCCTCCACGCTGAAGCTGTACTTACTCTTCTCTTCGAAATCGAGGGGTCCCGCAGTTCTAATCTCGCCACTGTTTCTGTCAACAGAGAATAAAGCGCTGACAGATTCCAGGACGTCCCCGAAGGAGTAGGAGATCCGCCCATTGGACCCCGCGTCCGCATCCGTGGCCCGCACCCGCAGCACCAGCGACCCCGCTGGTAGGTTCTCTGCCACTCGCGCCTCGTAGATGCTCTTGGCAAACACGGGCGGGTTGTCGTTGGCATCAGATACGTTGACCCGAACGTGGACTGTCCCGGACCTCGCGGGGTCCCCACCATCCAGTGCACTAAGAATGAGTTCAAAGAAACTCTGCTTCTCCCGGTCCAACGCTTTCTCCAGCACTAATTCAGGCAGCTTCTTTCCTCCTTGTCTCTCTTTCATGGCCAGAGTGAAGGAAGGGTTGCTGCTGAGCTCATAAGTCAGCAGCGAGTTGCTGCCCACGTCTGAATCGTGGGCCATTTCCAGGGGAAAACGAGTGCCGGGAGGAATCGATTCGTCGACCTCTAGTTCCAGGGCAGCCTTCCTGAAGGCCGGGGAGTTGTCATTCACGTCCTCAATGGCCACCTCGACATGGAAAATATTTAGGGGGTTGTGCACCAGCACCTCGAAGCTGACAGAGCAGGACGCCGACTCACCGCACAGCTGCTCCCGGTCCAGCCTCTCGCTCACGTACAGGTTTCCGTTCTCCTCGCTCACGGTGAAGTATTTCAGCTGCCTTTTGCCGGCAGACGCCACCCGCAGCTTGCGCGCCGGCAGCTCGTCCGGGCTGAGCCCCAGGTCCCGTGCCAGCGGCCCCACGAGCGAGCCTGTGGGCAGCTCCTCGGGGATGGCGTAGCGGAGCCGCTCCGGCGCCGCCCGGCAGCACAGGCACAGCAGCACAGCGGGCAGCAGCAGCGCTCGCCCGCCGGCCGGCCC